TGCTCTCTAACCTTCCGTACTTCTTCTGTTATTTTGTTGCACAATAGCAACACATTAGCGCACTGCTGCCTCCCACTTGTGTATTAATGTCATCGGTTTTGTTGTGGCTACTTGAATATTTTAAGTAGGAGTTACTCATTGCAGCAAGTTGTTTTATTCGCCTTAAAATTAGCTGTTACTTAATAAAACCGAGTAAGTATAACAACTAAGTAAAGATAACTAATTATATCTAAGTAAGGTAAACTATTGGATTTTACAGTGTATTATGTGTATACAAAAACAGAAGGAAAAACAATTGTTATAAAACAGATCCAGTCCATTATTCTAAATGGCTCAATTGAGTGAAAGCAATACAGTTGCGGTCCAAGGTTTATATACAACTTGCAGTATCTGCATAATGTTAATATTTTTAGCAATAAGAGGGTTGAGGGGTAGAATCATAAAAAAATTGCAATTACTGCCCTGATGAAGCAGTTTATTCTGCAAGGTGTACGTAAACTTTTGACCACATCTGCATCACCTAAGAGATGAATTACCTCAATCATCAGGGCAACATCGTTGTAGAATGCTGGGAGATGTTCCTGCAGATTTCCCACAAACACCAGAATTCCACTGACCACACCATCTATACAGACACTGGGCTTTAAAAATTGATAGCATTTTAATAAATGTTTTTATTCCTACTTTACAGGAAATAAAACATAACTTTATCAATTACCTAAATATCAACATCCCAAAACCCATAAAAATGAAGAAAGGTAATCTTCAATGTTTCCTTATCTTGCCTTGCAAGCTTCTCTCGCGCATCTTCATGAAGGATGTTCCTGTATTTACCACGGCTAGCACGGCAAAGCTGCTGCCCTCTTCCTTTGGTTTGTTACCTGTAAAATATTATGATGATTAGAGGGGGATCTGTAAATGCACAGGTGGGAATGTATGACTTGCAAATGGAAAAGATTCAAAGCATTTAAACGCCATAGGGATAGTTAGTGACTTGATGGCAGTTTTAACTTGTAATGTGTGATCAGGGTGAGCCGGCTGGGCAACAATTCATTAAAAAACTTCTAACATCACCTCTTCAATACGGGTCTGTGATTCCACACTGTATATCCAGTGACAAATCTGTACTGATCCTGCAAAATGAATGAATAACTCCAGATAAGTAAAAAAAAATATTACATATTACAAACACAAGCAGTAACTGAACATCCCACTCTTCAAATCCAAAGAGAAAATTAAAAACATTATTTCTAGAGGTGATTCATTGAACATTACTGGTGGTTATTATATCGATCAGGGGTGGAGCCAGGGGGTGGCAATGTGGTGTCCGTGGCCACCACTGACGAAAGTTTTTGTCCCTTTCTTTTTTCTTTTCTTGACAAGAAATGCATTTATTAAAGGGGTCATATGATACGATTTAAATTTTTAACTCCTTTCTCTTTGGAGTGTTACAAGCTCTTGGTGCATAAAGAAGATCTGTAAAGTTGCAAAGACTAACGTCTCAAATCCAAAGAGATATTATTTATAAAAGTTAAGAGTCAACCACGCCTACCTAAAACGGCTCGTTCTAACACGCCCCCACATATCTACGTCACGATGTGGGAAGATTTGCATAACGCCGCCCAAATGTTCACGCAAAGAAAGAAGGCGTAA